ACCCTAAAGTCAGATGGTTGGGCTGTGGAACCTGATGTATAGTGCATCAATCCCACATGAACTTGCTCAAGCTTGGGGCTCTGGACATCCTTCGCACATCGATGATATGGAGCCATTATAATTATAGGGGAGAGAGAAAAGTCAACATAGCTGTCCCAAGAGCACCACTGATGCCCCTGGAGCTGTAAAAGTTCTCGTGCCCAAGGCCTCACCATAAAGTCTACTGTAGGTATCAAAGGATTTCAGGGCGAGAATACTTGTATATGATTATACAGGCTTCTAGGTAGCACTGAGAAACCAAAGCCAGCGTCCTGCGAAGGGGCCGTTGTCCAACCGGCACGCGGCACCGCACCAGGAAGCGGGAAGAGTATAAGCATCATACCGTACCCCCACGTGACCCAAATGGTGGTTCATATCCAAAAGGCTTTCTTTCAGGCTTCAGAATCACGATTACGGTTTCTAGTCCTCGTAGTAGTGCGACTGCCACTACTGCTGTTCTTGCTATGACTGCTGCTAGTGCTATCTCCATTACGCCTGCCAGTACTTGCTATAATTAGTGTTCTTGGGATTACCATTATTGGCACGGTTACCTCTACTCGTAGTATGACTTTGACCATGATCGTTAGCGTTACTGTAATCTGCCTGGTTTACGGTTGCTGGAGTTATCTTGGAGCAATTCTCGAAGTTTCTGGGGTCTCCACCCTCCACCTTTGATAGTCTTTTTAGGGCCTGCTTTGGTTTTCTATATTAATTATTATTTTGGGGGAGAGGAGGTTTCAAATTTCAGCGTCGTTCAGCAGCTCACATGTATGTGGATCAGCGTTACTGAGTTTGAAGGCCTCGGGATTGTATTGTTAGTGCTGTTCAGTTAAGCGGCTGTGGATGCTGTGTCGCGATCTGACTTGTTGAGATTATGGCCTGGGGATTTCTGAGGGGTGGGGATCTGAGTTCAGGGGCTTCGAGGTCTAGTTTCCAAAGAGTTGTGGTTCACTCTTCTTGGATGCACAGGATTGCGTCCTGGGGATGGTATTCCGGGAGGAAGCTGTAGCCGACACGGAAAACCATGATCAGGAACTATCAAGACCCCAACAATGTTACATTGAAACCAGAATGCTGAGAAATGTGGGGAGTGCCACTTTCCAATTCATTTCCATCTTCTGTTTCATTGTGATTCTCCGTTCTGGGGGTTCTATAAACCTCACAAAGAGGGTCTCGGTTCAAAGCTTTGGGCTTTGAGGTGGCATTGGCTGGGAGCTCGTCAGCTGGGTGATACTGTGGACTCCTTTTCTGCAGTATTCTGCAGACAATCAGGCTACTTGCTAGTGGTGTCTAGGGAGTGAAGGCAATGGGATATAAGGACTGTCATACGGAAGTATAAAGGGCCTACCTCTGGGATCTCTTACTGCCTTCCCTACTATCCGCCACTAAGTTTATGAACACATGCCAAATTTGAGCCACACTTATATGGTCCAATACAACAAGGTTGTAATTTAAGGTAAACCCCGCTTATATGGTCCAAAAACAATATGGTTCTAAGGTAAAGCAAGCATTGCCGCTGCTGATAAAGCCCATGAAGGCAAAGAAGGGCATAATATGCGAGAAGGAGCTCTCCTCCTGTATAACCCCTATACATATACCCCGTTTCCATTTTTCCTTGCAGGTCCACTTGGTTCTCCATTGTTGGTCTCGGCTTGCAAGCGGATTGTCCGGGTTCTTCTACACAGCAACCTGAAACCCTAAGCCCTACCTGCAGAGGCAACTAATTATAGTCCCCCTTAAGTAGATAGAATATGGTTCTGGCTGTATTTTATCAAGATCCCCATGTACCCCATATCCTATCTGCTTAAGGGAGACTATAAGTAAACCAAAATAAAGTTTACAATAAGTCCCTACAACTGTGTACCAAAGGTTTGGCAAACAAGGATCGCCGTGTACAACCCTCCACACCCCAAGCCCTAAACCCCTACACCCCTTGTCTGAGCTGTCATGTAAACACTACACCCTAAACCTTTCAAGCTACTTGGAGGGTCAGGGAGACTTAGTAAGTAGGTTAATATTCCCTATAATCCAGAGCGTAACTCTAGTTATCCCCATTCTTAACCTACTTACTAAGTCCCTTTAGGCCCAAACCCCAAGCCCTAAACCCTAAACCCTAAACCCTCCAAGCTACGGTCCAGGACTTCATTTTTGCCAGCTTGGCACCAAACGATGGCGTGCTAACGGCCTGGCTCGCGGTTGGCTCAGAAGAGCGGGCACCACCAGGGCTTGGGAAGGGGTTTAGGGTTTAGAGGGTTCAGGGTTTTAGGGTTTAGGGTCTAGGGATTAGGGCTTGGGTCTACAGACGGTATGAGGGAGGTCCTAAAAAGGGTTTCCAGTTCATTTGTTTGGGAGGGTCCGGGCCGGTGGAGATTTTTTTCCCCACCCTCGCAGTGGG